GGTTTGGGGGGGGGGGGAAGCAGCAGGGAACTTGAGAAATATGGTATTTTTTTCTTTTTTCTTTATTTTTTTTTTTGCTAATCAGGAGTATTAGCAGTAACTCATAACAATGTGTGAAGTGATTGACAAATGATTTGATGGTATAAAGAAACATCGAGATAATAACTGAAACATCGCTCAACGACGATTACCCCCACAGAGCAGTCCATGCAGGTGGCTCATCTTCCCCCAAAATTTAAAGTGTCCTGGAACATGTCTAATGTTGAGTTAGCGCCAGTGGCTAATGAATCAAAAGAAGTTAGGATAATCACTGTATGAATTCAAAGAGTGAAAGCAGACCGGAAAAGTGCTCCCCCGGTGGGCATGTCACCCTTCCCTGTGCACATTCATCAAAACGGTGTCATTAGAGGGCACAAATTGCCTCCTCTGCCAAGATGGGTCTCACACACACGCACACCGACACACATACACAAAGGAAGTTTCATTTGTTCGCCGTGTTAGTGCTTTTTCCCCATCTGGTCTCTCCGTGCAGCAGGAAAGCAGCTGGGAGTTGTGCGAGTGATATTAATCTATGATATCATTCTTCCTTTGCTTTTGTGCGGCAGGAAGAACAAGTTGGACACAAAAAAAAGAAAAGAAGAAAATGAGATAACCTCAATCATTACCTTCATCACACACCCCCGAGAGTACAAACAGAACAGGCCTGATTATCATTTTTTTTTTCCTCCCCTCGGCATAAATTACACAACATATCAAGCAAAACCTTTATCGAAGTTAGTATGTGTTCTGAGTTAGAGATTTGAGATTTTGATGGGGGTGGGGGGTGGCTCAGCCATACCCTTAGTGTGAAATACCAGAGCGGATCCCACCCATCGTTTGATGCAGGAAGTCATCGCAACAAAGCAGCGGTGGCTCAGCAGCGCGCTGTCCCCAGGCTGTTCAGCGACATCGCCTCCTGAGGGTAGATAGATGCCATGGTGCCAGTCCACATCCCGTCTAACCTTTTTTAAAACCTTGCTCGGTGCCAAGTGTCCTTCAATGTCAAATCGTGGCTTCACAGCCAAAAATCCCACCCAACCGTTTGTCTTGTCACCTATGAAACCAGGTTCGCTGGGGTACGCAATCTATACAGGGGTTGCTCGGTTCACGCAGGAGTTTGAAGAACTCTGAACAGCCTAATTGTAATTTGTTTTTCAACCCCATAATGCTCATCTCAATCTCAGCTCAGTCATGTCCCTTGATTAATCTGCAAAGGAAATAAACCTTTTGATTAAAAAAAAACGTGTAATCCAATAACTCCTCTCCCCTTTGGAGCATGTATAATGGTTCCATTATACACAAGGGCATGTTTTTATTAAATATCAACGCGTGGCTCTGTCGAGCATCTGCCCAACCTTGACGGAAGATTCTACCCGAGGAGTGGGCCTGTCAGTCGACAAGACTATTGATGAATGTTGTTTTCCAATTCAGTGATGTTGACGCATCAATCGCAGGCCTCAAAAAGTTCCGCGTCCAAAACTTATTCACGCTGTTCTTTGAAATTTGATGAAAAACGAATGGTTGGGGATGCTGACGCTGTCAAAGAATGGATGATTTAAGATCGGTCAGCTGCTTCGCAGCTGTGCGCCATTAAAGATTAGCTTGCGTCAACATACAGTGCTTCCTCAGAGGTAAAATTTGTGTACTTTTGATTTTTTTTCCCCCCTTTACTATCTGTCAAAAATCCAATGTTTGGTCATGCTTAGCGCTGTTGCGGGTATTTTCCAAACTTTCCTTATCTTTATTTATTTTTTTTCTTTTCCATTCCAGTTCATTTGGTGGGGCTCAGCCAGGAACCATTTATTGACTTGCTTTTCATGAACAAACAAAACATTCACTTGCAGTTTTCTTGAGCCAGCTGTCAGCTTTGTGAACATATTTATTTTGGTTTAAATATGTGTTCGGTGCCTGATGTCCTGCATTTGAGTCCATCTGTTTGTGATATTTGACAAGAATCAACACTGAGTGAAGAGGTAGACTGCTTCGTTAGCTTCCCATGATAGCTGCTGAGTGGCTAACTGCCAACTTTTTGGACAAAATGTTTTGGTTTTAATATTGTGACACGTGTCCCGCAGTTGAATTCAGCTTGTTGTGCTGCTAGACAAGAAGGAACACCGAATACAGATATTGTATACAATGCTACCGTAGCTTCTTGCTGGTTGGTTAGCGACTGAGTGAGAAGCGAGATCCTGAGTGCTGAGCTCTTACTTTTTATGAACCAAGACTATGATTTGAATATTCTGTGTCCGGTGTTATTTGAGTCTATCCGTTTGTGATTAATGACAATGAGGAGCACCGAGCAAAGACGAAGACGTTGGTTTCCTGCGCTAGCGGCTAACTGGATACCTGTTGGCTGCCCAATGTTTTAGGAACATTTTGTTTTTAAATTTTAATATTCTGTTTGGTGTCATACATTTGAGTGTAACTTTCGGTGGTGATTGACAAAAAGGAATGCTGACGCAAAATGCAGACTGCTCCATTCGCTTTCTCCACTGGGCTGTGATGGCTAACTGCTCCCTGGCCAGCTGCCAACTTGCGAATCAACGAATTTGATTTGGGGCTCTTGTGAAGGCTCGCCCGTCTGTGTTTGAGTCCATAGGTTTGTGCCAAATGAAGGCGTAGAATGTTTCATTAGCAATTTGCGCTAGCTGCTGACTAGCAAGCTGCAGTAAGCTAGTCTTTTGTGAGGTCCAAAAGTTATTTTTCAAAACCCTGCTGTATTTCAATTGTGGTGTTTTTTTTAAAAGTGTCCTCAAGCCTATTGCCATTCTTGGATCGTTTTTGTAGCGCGGTTGTGCAATCCTGATTCGAGTATTAGCCACCGAGACAATCTCCACTAGACCTTGTCTAAGGAGAACAGCTGGGCAAAGGAAATGAGGTCTGGAGACAGGCCTGAAATGTAATGTTTTGATACATCACATATTTTCACTTCCAAGGGGCTTAGAGGGAGCATTCCCATCACAGTGAGTTACAACAGAAATCCGTCACATAAAGCACTGCAATCATTCAATGTACGTTTTTGATGTCAATGATCTTTACCAAGCAACTTGTCTCATTTTTATATACGTTCTCAAAACTAATCACCATTAAAAAAAATCTGCCATGTTGTATGTCATCCATGTTTAAAGAATTTTTTGCTTCCAGGAATTCAGTTTGGATCATCCTGAAAGCATTAAGTGTCCAGGAATGTACTGTACCTTGTTTTGAAATATCCCTGTTTATTCCATGTCTACTGTGCGATGACAACCAGACCGTTTATCATGACGTCTTCTCGCATGAAACACTCTCCAGAGTTTTGGCGTGTAGTACTGTGCCAAATAGGCATATTTTCCAAATAAGGCAACTACGGCTGCTTGGTAAATGTCCTTGAATCAACAATGAATTAACGAACTACAGTATTTTTTTTTGTAAGGCTCCTGTACTGTTACGGGTCAAATTGACTAACCCCCCCTTGGGGGTGATACATGGATCAAAATATGTGAAAGCGGTAAGAGCTCAAAGTACACAGTCAAATATTCAATGGAACCTAAAACAAAAGATGACAATCCGTGCCGTTTTGTACAAACGAAATGGAGCTATGGAATGCTGCTAGAGAAGCCCATTTTTCTCATAGCAAACATCACAGAGAGAAAGAATGCTAAAGTCAGAGCCCTGGTGTGATTAAACATTTGCCCGTATCCTAGAGCTTGATCTCCAGAGGAATGCATTGTGTATAAGGACTTGGCGCGGCCTGAATAGCAGCTTTATTAAGTGGCCCGAGGGGTGCAAGGTGATGGACAAACTTGTGGGGGTAATCATGTGCACGTATCGGACTTGCAAATGACTTGAATATAATGTTTCCAGGTGCAGGGATGCAACCTTGAACACAATGACTTTGGCATTGCGGATAACCTAATGGTGTCTTCTCATCTGCGTTAACTATTCTGCGACTCCTTCGACTCAGCGTCCTGAATTTGGCTCATCATGCTGCTGCATTTGGGGTTGAATCTTTCGTTGTTTCTTTTCATAAGAACACAAAAACAGCAAATAGGTGAGTTTTTCGACAATTAGGAGGGTTGGCGGAGGGGGTGAAATAAGTAAATCGGTGAATTAACCAATAAAAACAAGGTAAATATGGCGAGGTTCTGTGGTTGGAATAGATTGTGTGTGTAAAATGTAAAATTGCTGAAACTTAACGTTCGCGAATGGCATTCCGGAACAAATTAAGTTTGTAAAGTGAAGTTTGACTAAACATAACTTTGGGTACCACCATACTTAGTGTTTTTATCTCTCACATTCGCCATGTCACATTTTGAGGCACTGTTTTAATTGTTAAAAGCATTTTTTTTTATTACAGCAACAATGAATTGAAAATATACAGATAAAGTTTTCAGCAACTTTTACTGCCTTTGCTTTCGATGTCCCTGCACTCATTTTGTATGGCTCATGTTGTCTCGCTACCATAATCCTTTTCGTTTTGTTGAAGCTGAGTGAATAACTGGTGCAACTGTGGAAAAAAAGATGACAACCCCTCCTAAAGTTCATTTACCCTCGTTGACCTGGCGCACCAACACATTTCAGACCACCGACTGAATACAGCAGCTTTGATGTTTATTCCCGTGTCTCCACGGACTATTTAGTCGTCCCCCCCATTCATCTCCTGAAGGGCTAATTGCTCACCGAGGTACACGCAGTACGATCGACCGCTTGCGTCTTGTCACTGCACGGGCACCGTTCTGTCTGGAAGCAGACTTGGAACGCAGGAGTCGCAGTATTCAAATCTTGTGAAAGCTCTAAAGAGGCCTTTTGTTCGACGCCCTTGATGCTGCTCTCGCCACTGCTGACGATGAATCGGCTCGGCAGCCACTCTGAAGAGCGGCCGCAGCAGAGCGGATGATGTTGACCTGTAAATTCTGAGACACTCGGATGACTCCTACACCTTCTTTGCTTTATTTTTCATAACGCATGAACTCGGGCCAGCAATTTGTCACACGTTGGCGCTACCTCTGGCTAATGACCGAACAAGAACAATTCAAGGTAATGTTTCCCAAGTGCGCTGTACAAAAAAAAAAAAAACACATTTTCTCGGCAAACCATCTACTGGTAATGTTTCCCAAGTGCGCTGTACAAAAAAAAAACGCATTTTCTCGGCAAACCATCTACCTGATGTTGAAATTAGAGTCGTTAGCCCCCTTTTACACAGCGATCACACAAAATTGCAGCATCACAGAAGGCCATTTTCCTTCGTGCGATGTACATGACAGAAATAGCAGCCGTTGGCAGCTCCTGACCGGTTGCGTATTAAAATATCTTCGGGCTTGTCTGGCATAAAAAAAAAAAAAATCCAGTGTAACGGTAACCTCGCTCAACGAAAGCAGTTTACGTGCACCAAGTAGATAAACGTTGCACTAAAAATCATTATTTTAAACTGTTGTTTGTTCCTGTAGGCCCGGGTAGCTTTCTTTGAGTGCTCGCTGAAGCTTGAGCACAAAGGATGAAAAGAAGTGCGATGGCTTGTTAGCCTATTTGGCAAAGGAAATTATTAATGCGCCTTTCCGTTGTTCTGTTGGCCTTAATGGCGTCATTGTCGCGCATTTCGTCGTTCGCCATCTGTTTCCTGCGTCGGATCGTCTTTGCTTCACGAGCTGGGCTTTGTCCATTCCGATATGATAACACGCTCACGTGGCACCGCTTCCCTCGGTTTCCCCAACCCCAACACAAGTCTGATAATCTTGCCGCACTGGGAAGCTGAACGTTTGTCCTGAGTCGAATTTTTGCCTTTGGGCTGCGACAATCAAAGCCAAACACAACATGAAACTAATCCACCCGGTGGAAGTGGCTGCATGTCTTCATAAGAGCATGGGAAAGAAACCCCGGTATGGCCTTTCGCTGACAGCCAGCAAGCATGGGAACAATAGTGTTAGCAAGGCTCTTAGTCAATGTCACTCGATTTAGACTTTTTTTTTTTTTTTTTTGCTTTCAACAATGCAAGCTTCCCTTTTGAGGGAAGTGTGTCATTCTCCAATTTTAAATTGTGTCCGGATAAAACCTGAGCTCACCATCAACCAGGAAATCAATTTGTCAGAAAGATGAAGAACATTTGTTGTCAGGCTTGAGCGTCTACCCTTCGCGGGTTGATTGATTGTTTCGGTCAAGTCGGCACTCGTAACTTTAAATCATTGTTTAATGTTGTAGACTTCGGGGACAAAAAGTGAAAGTCAACTGAACGTGAAACTAATTTGAGAGCCTCAAAGTTATCTGGGACTTTTTAAGACCTCACTGCCAATGTGGGATTGTTCCGTGACCTTCAGACTGTCGTTTGCCAACAAAGTGTCAAGTATCGCGACGCTTCCTATTTAGCGGAATAAAACAAACAAGTGCAACAAGGCTGCCAGTGAATATGCAGCGACGAACATATTTTCGCTGTTGCATAACCGCGTTTCTAATCCTCGGGCCCTCTCTGTGTGTGTTTACAATACAAAGCTGGTGTCGGTGAATATGCAACTAGCCGTACTGAATGTTTCTTTTCACATACTTGGAAAGTGTCAGAGTTGCGCTCAGATCCAATATCTTAGGAAGATGTTTTTTGGGCCACACTGAAAGTGAAATAAATACGATTGCAGGCATGGGCTGGGGCGGGCGGCAGTGCGGGCGCTTTGCGATGTTGATACTGAACTGGTCTACCGTGGGAGATTGGCTGATTGAAAAGTAGATCTTGGGTCGAAAAAGGTTGGCGTAACATCTGTGCTAATTTTGATTAGCGTGAGTTATGGGTTGTTTTTTTTTTTTCATTGTATAACAGCATATTTAGGTAGCGGACATTCATTGTTTAGTCCTTTTGTTTTGGATGTAAGTTTTACAGCTACAGCTGGAGTAAGACTAAGAATGTTTTTGCCTCGCCCCTTGTTGAAATATTTGCGCAACCCGATCAGATACCCTTGAATGTCGATGAGAACATGTTTGAGTTCATTTGCCTCCTACGTTGCAGCGACACTGTAAAACTGCCGTGCACCGACTACAGACACGATATTCATACTTTTCCCCGCAAGATGAATGTAATGTTTTCAAGGAGAATGTTGTAATATTCATGATTGATTCCATAATTGTTCGGAAAATACGATCATATTTTTACATACTTATTTTCCTTGTAGGCAACTAGCAATATTTGGACAGCTTTCACATCATTTTTGATGAACTCTCATAAAATAATCTTGTTTTGGGGGCTACAGGAAGACGTGTTTCCCTGTTAGTTTCACGTTGGGTTGACAAAATAGCTTTTAACTGGTTTTCCCTTTCGCTCCAGCCAATCCCTCCGTTTATCAGGGAACACATTTATCAGTCAGCGCTTTGGCTTCTCTTCAATGTACACTACCACAGATGTAACAAATTATTCTGTTGTGAATTTGAGGAACTTGAATGTCATCAATCCACCGCTACGCCGTTCCATTGGATCCAGCTGTCATTCTTTTTTTTTTTCGGGGCCCCTAGAAATTCTGTTTTTGCGATGACATCGTTCACCTCATCGATTTGGTCATGCTCGTGGCTTTCCGGCAGCCTTTGTTCCTTCCTGTGACCGCAGGCCAACACCTTGCGCATTAGCTGCAGCTGTCCAAATGGACACCCACAACATCCCCCTCGCTCGCCGGGGGAGCTCGCTCACTGAATATATCACCTGATGCAACAACAGGCCCTGCCTATATTTGTATAAATCATATCTAAAGAAACGGCCAGCAGAACCGGCGGGAGCCCAACGAGAGTTGTAGAGGCCTCGCGTGATGGAACGGAACATGACGTGACCCGGCAATAGTCGCGACTTTCGTAGAGCGGCGTTATGGCGCAACAGTGGAAGAAAGTGACCCGAACACTTTCTCTTATCTGAGCCGACACAATAGATCACGCCGGATGGCGGAAGCGGAGGTCTGCTCGCTGGGTTATAAAAGCAATAAAAGGAACAGGTCGGCTCCGAGAAGTACGCTATGAGCCCGGGTGATCCGTAAACAAACATGGATGTCCAGAGGAAGTGCACATAATCCTGTCAGATTGGAGCCAGTTGAGGACAAGGAGTTGAACGGTCAGAGAAACCAACGCCAGTGCTTCTAATAAAAAGTTTGAGAACACATTTATGTAGTTGGAGGAAATGGTTCATGTTAAATGGGAGCTATGAGCCCGGGTGATCCGTAAACAAACATGGATGTCCAGAGGAGGTGTACATAATCCTGTCAGATTGAGGCCAGTTGAGGACAAGGAATTGACCGGACAGAGAAACCAACAAACTCATTTTTGTCGCGGGCCACGTTATAGTTGCTGTTTCCCTTTGAGGGCTGTTCTGACTATGAAAGCAAAAAACGATTTACTCAACTTTTGTTTCACCCTTTCATGGACAGCGGTTACTACAGTGGACAATATCAGGTTACAGGGTGCATGTAAGGGTTAAGTTACTGCAATGAGGGGTTTGATAACAAGACAATGCTTACAGTACCTCTCTTACTTATTACATAGGAGAGTCTGAAATTTTGGTACAGATTTTAGCAAGAATCATGGAAGTTGATGTTTGACTTGCTTTCGCGGGCCACATAAAATAATTTGGCGGGCCAGATCTGGCCCCCGGGCCTTGAGTTTGATAGCTGTGGTTTATATTGTCCCTCCAGGTGAGGACAAGGAATTGACCGGACAGAGAAACCAACACCAGTGCTTCTAATAAAAAGTTTGAGAACACATTTATGTAGTTGATTCCACAGTTGGACGAAATGGTTCATGTTAAATCCGGCACACACCTTTAACATCCCCACACATTGCACTCTGTTGTTGATTTTGATCAAACGAATAGGGAAAACGCTCACGTCAGTTTATATCAGGGGTGTCAAACTCATTTTTGTCGTGGGCCACGTTATAGTTACTTTTCCCTTTGAGGGCTGTTCTGACTATGAAACCAAAAAACGATTTACTCAACTTTTGTTTAACCCTTTCATGGACAGTGGACAATTTATGTTATCAGGTTACACGGTGCATGAAATGAGGGGTTTGATAACAAGACAATGCTTACAATAACCCTCTTTCTTATTACATAAGAGTGTCTGAAATTTTGGTTCAGATTTTAGCAAGCATCATGGAAGTTGATGTTTGACTTGCTTTCGAGGGCCACATAAAATAAGTTGGCGGGCCAGATCTGGCCCCCAGGCCTTGAGTTTGATAGCAGTGGTTTATATTGTCCCTCCGGTGGTCCTCTGCACATTTACTTTCCCATATGTAATTTCAAACCTTTTTTTTTTTTTTTTACAGTGACAAATAAGAAGCCAGCCCACGTCTCCATCACCAAAGTGAAACAGTTTCAAGGATCGTCCGCCTTTGTCAAACGCTCCCAGTGGACTATCGACCAACTACGGCAGGTCAACGGCATTGACTCCAACAAAGTAAGCCGCGTCAAATTCAAATTTCAGACTTTTGCGTTCTCAAACCGCCACCAATTCTCACACCGTCACTCCAATCAAAGGACTCCCCCGAGTTTGACCTGACGTTCGATAACGCCTTTGACCAGTGGGTCGCTGGTTCTGCGGGAGAGAAGTGCACCTTTGTCCAGATTCTTCACCACACCTGCCAGCGCTACATCCCGATGCGGAAACCAGAGTTTGTCAACTGTCAGTCCAAACTGCTGGGAGGTGAGACCCTTGAGTGGGAGGGGAGAGTCTTGTTTTATGCAACTTTTTTTTTTTTTTTTGCGTGTGTTGTGCTGCCTGATGTGAATTACAAAGGGAGTTGGCACCTCAAGTGAATAAAAATGTATGTGATTGTCAACGCAACTGGTCTTAACGATCTAATATTCTAATTAGGGATGGGCATGTGATTAAAAATTCATTGATTTACTGATGGTTATGATTTTTTGATGAATTATAATAAGGCAAAAAGGAGCTATTTGCTCAACTGTGGCCAACATCCACTTGGAATTCTGCCCAGTACCTGCCGGGAAGAGCTGAAATCCGCAGGCAATTGACACTCGCTCAAAAAGGTTTGCAATTTTCTATCAATGCTGCGAGATTGCGGCAAAGCACTTTTTTTCAGACGACATCACATTTTTTTTTTTTAATCCCGATTTTGAACATGTATATCAGTTACACGTTTCAAATGTGTTAAACGGACAATTTCACCTTTTAATAAGCTGTCCCTGAAAAGGGTTAATAAGGGAGCCTTTGCAAATGTTGACCTGCAAAAAATGTGGGGCTCCGCTGTAATCAGGTCGTGATAAAGGCAAAATGAAGTACTGTCCTGTCCTTGGCTGCGATCACCAGAAGTGCTGTTGATTTTTGGTCTAAAAATGAACAAAATGGCATCTACGACGCCCCTCTGGAAAAAATGTTTTGGTTCAGTTGTTCAAAAGACCACATTGACATTTTCATAGGTTTTTAAAAATTTTTTGAAGTCAATGCCCATCCCTAATTCTAATTGTGAATCATTCCAGAACATTAACAAACGAGCTGTAATAAACCCCTAGTCATTTCATTCCTTGTCCCAAAAAAAAAAAATCCAGTTAATTTCCTCTCCTCGAAATAACCTTCAATATTCCATTCATCAATACGTGTGTAGTTGCAGCACAGCAATCTGAAGCCCAACCAGCCAATTCTGTCATTTCCTGGCCGCGAGGATGTAAATGGTTTGCTCATAAAGCAAGCAGAGAAAGTAGCATCCTGCCCGGATGAATCCGATATTGATCTGTTTACCCTCAACTCTCATCTTTGAACACTGTTCCGCTTTTGTATTATTCATGGAGTTGTTAATCCAAACACATCTCGCCGGCCGGCCCCGCCACCCACACTCGGCCCGGCTTGGCTCTCGCCTGACTTCCATCAACCGCAAGCCCCTTGGCTCCGTTTGCGCAATCCCGCATAGAGACAAACATGCCGAGTCACTTCATCTTCTCTCCTTGGCAGGGGTAACGCTGCAGAGCGCAGTTGCTTGTTGTACGCTAGACTTTCTTTGTTGCCCAAAAGGACTACTCGTGTGTTTTCCCCCCCGAACAGTGACGCTGTAGCGTTGGTAAGTCTTGACTGCTAAAAGTGTCGTTTCGGAGACGGTTGTCGACTGGTATGGATCGAAGAATTGAAGAAGTGCAAGTGGCTTTACTATTTCAAGTCACTGTTTCACTGGGGTGGAACCATCAATGCTAATTCAGTTGTCAGCTCGTTCTTTGGAATTAAAGTCTTACCTTTTGACTTTCTTACCTCCACAGATACAGTGGATATAAAAAAAAAAAAGCCCTGCAAATTATAGTACGACTGCTCTGAATCACATTTCCTGTCATTTCTGTGCTCAATACGTTTTCATCAGTTATCATTCAAAAAAAAAAAGTCAGAATTGTTGTAAATTAGGCTATGGTAGTTGTTCAAGTAAGACAATGATGGTTTGAATTTCCAATTCCAAATTCTTTTGTTGAAGTCAGCGGTCCCAACCCCAACGGTGCCGGTCCGTGGGTCATTTGGTACCAGGCCACACAGAAAGAATGAATAACTTACATTACTTCCGTTTTATATTTTTCAGAATCTAAAAGATGTTTTATTTTGAAAAATTACCCAATTCTCTGTTGCATCCGTCCGTCTATGTCACTCTTGACTCAGGTCAAGGCGCGCTTCTCGGTCACGTGATAGGTTACCGCTAAAATAAAACGCAGGAGCTCGCAAAATTGGGGGTGGGGGGGGTCGTTGGGAAGGGGAAAAGGCCCAGCCAGCAGACAAAAGAGGAGCCTATGACTTCCAAGAAAAAGAAAGCTACACTTCATAGAAAGTATCAGGAGTCCTACTTAAAATACGGATTTATCTCAACGGGAGATTCCCACTTTGCATAATATGCGGCGATGGTGAGTCGTATTTTTCATGCACTTTGTATTTGCGCTGTATCTTATTTTGAAGGCACGTTTAAACGTTACCATAGCGCCCACTGAGGTTGGTTGCAGTGACGCTGGTTTAAGTGACCTTGAGCTTTATTGACTTGTCACTGACTTTCTTGAGGTTACTTCGCTCGGAGGGTGTGACAGGATTCTCTTGTTTCTTCCTGTGTGTAAATGAGACCACACAAGTTGCCTTGTGGCAGGAGCCTCGCGGGATGCCGCCATTGCTGTCCACTCCAGTTTAAGTCTCACACCAGTGCAAAACAAAAATCATGACGCTGCTCAGGTGTGGGACCATAACTGTGGGAGACTCTTATCGGCCGAGACGTCTGTGATTGCCTCCCCCCCACACACACCTCCCCACCTCCCGAAAAGTTAGATAGAATTGATGGCAGTAGGAGTAGATCTGGGCATCTTTGATCTCGACGTGTCAGGGTTTTAAGGCTTCGTAGAGGAGCATTGATGATGCAAGCTGCAAAATGTGAAAAGGAGGGAACATTTTTTAATGTGCTTGTAGTAGTCGCGATCTTTCCAGTCTTTTTTTTAAGGTCCAATTGAGACTTTTCAACAAGTCCCTTAAAAACCGTCCTTTCATGACCATGCGCCTCGAGCTCCCAGCCTCGTCCATTTAAATAACAGCATGTCATTCCTGAACGTTTACGGCCTTCGCACTAAACCGATCACATAGTAACCCAAAACTCCTTTCTACTAATTTCAACCAAAATTGCAGTTAAAAAAAAAAAATAAAATAATCATAATAATTCCTGTCCACATTTTTTTTCACTACAGAAGGCCAAACGGTAGATTCGGTTGTAGTCCGCTGCAAAGTGTTTATGAACAGAGTGAGGAAAGATCTGGTTGCTCACCATAGTCTGCTCCGACGACGAGGTAAGACATTCGGGCGTACGTATTTCCCGCATTACTGTATCATAAAAGGTGTTGCGTGCCCAAATAGTCACCGAAATAAATTAACGCCTCCCTGCTCCTATCTGGAAAAGACAATTGGTAGCGACCTCGAATCATCTCCGTTTATAGATATATTGTCACTCACACGTTCATTCAAGAGTTAACAATTGAGACCTTTTGACCTTAGTTGCTAACCAAAACAGCGGCTCCTATCAAAGCATGCACACCGTCTATCAGATGACTTGGTGGTTTGGTGACTTATTGCATTTCGGCGCACAAGTCAACAATTTTGATGATTAGAGTTTTCGCTGGACTCTGACCTGTGGTCGCTTCACAATGTTGCATGAATGACAAGGTTCCACGTCAAGCAAATACCACGTCTCTCCCATAGATGACTTCTTGTTTCCATCACAGAAACTCAATCGGTAGTAACCGTAATTATCTCGGTTCATCACTGCTATCGTTCATGCAACCATTAAAGAGCTAACTGCTGGCCCAACGTGCTGCTAACCCAAAAAAAAAAAGCACCACCGACCAAAGCCCTTAAACAGCCTGGGAGGGAGTTCAATTAAAGTCTGAACGCTTTCTGCATGTTAACGAGTCACAGATGAAGACAAATCGGGCAATTCGTGTTCCGGTCGGCCGCCGCGGTGTTCTTTGCTTTTATCGTCTGTGGAGCTACACCGCTATTTGTTTCATGTGAGTAGCATTGCTATAAAAAAGTTGAGCGGTGAACTCCTGGATCGCATTCATTGTAAGATTGTTGTATTATTCGAACAAATGTTTTTTAGACAAGGCGCCGCCTCCTGGCGCAATGGAGGAAATGAACACGCTTTGACACGATTTGCGGGAATAGAGTAAACACAAATAAACCTTGCTGCCGCGTCTCAGAGGAAAACTGAGTGACCTTGGCTGTCATTTTTTTTTTTTTTAGGCTGACACTAGTGCGGATACGACTGGACGCTCACAGCAAGCACGGGGTCAAAATCCAATGATGTGACTTGTCACTGTCAGCGGGGGGTGGGAGAGCGGAGGGGGGGGGGGTTTACAATCTGGAAGGCATTTCCAGTTTACCCCTAAAGGTTATTTGTGAGTTATGTTCACTGTCTGGACCCCTCACTGTCAAGCCAGCGCGCCGCCAACAAATGCCGCAGAAGGAGAATTCCATTCCAAAGAGCAGCCCGAGACGGAGCCTTCTTTGACAAATTCACTCAAGTCGAGACTGTAATGAGTGAAATTATTCTCAAAGCACATGCGTAGCTGACGTTACGCTTGATGGAAGATGCGGCGCTTGGGAATGGAGGGAAAGGAGACCGTGAGGAGAGGGAGAGGAGCGACCAAAAATTTTGTTCGCAGAATAAGAATTAAATGGAAAAATGAATCAATGTCAGGGTGGGGGATGCCATTTTTGGGCAGAATCATTATCAGCCAAAGGCCAGGAGAAGAGTCATCTGGTACCAGGACATTCCATTCAATTGTGTTGCTGGCAGATTGCAGAGAATGACAGAGTTTCGAAAAGTAGCGATTTTGGAGATGCTCTGATTCCGCTCGGCAGCCACGACATGTAGCTTGTCCTTGCTGAATATTTGCTAACTCTGAATGGTTTTATGAGTACATCAAGCTGCAGAATGAGCCAAGACTGGCGACTGCACGTTACATTCTCAAGAATTCGCACTCCTGTGAAAAGGAAAAGATCTAAAAGTGGTGGCAAAGGCAGATGCAATGTTTTCAATGTTTTTTTTTTACTTTTACAATGAATGCTTCGATTCTATTGAAGTAAACAGCTGCTGCTTGGTTTGAGTTCCCTTTTAAAAATTCAATTAAAAGTCAACAGCACGCTGCCTCTTCAATGAGCTGCGATAGGTTGACCTGAGGAACGAGCAGAAAATGGATGGATGCTTATGCCTCGAGTCAAAAATCAATCTCTCAAATTTTTTAACTGATGAAAATCTCGCCTTAAGTCAACAGCTGCTCATCAAACTCCAATTTGAAGTTTGACGATAACCACCAACCGGTAGAAAATTGAATGTGGGGAATTTTTCAAAGCGAATGAATTTGTGAAGTGGAGAGCACGCAGTTCATCTCTCTCACGATGCCGTCTGATGGGGTTTTCTCTCTTCTCTCTCTCGTGAACACGAGTAGCTGAAGGTCCTCCGACAATGCGCCACTCGTTAAGGAGATTATTTCGACGGAACTCCGTCAAGTGCAGATAAGTGTTTGCTTGCCAATACTTCAGAGCAGAGAATATATTAAAAAAAAAAAAAAAACACCCACACACACATGAATGTCATTCCCCCCAAGCGATATCCTTGCACAGCAGCGATAAGACTTGTACGCTACACTCTGGTGTACTCGGCCGTGTGCACTCTTTAATGAGCAGTGCTATATGGCCCTTCTTGAGCGTTAACGTGGCTGTTTGCAATGTGCCGAGTGTGTCTGATATTCCGATGTTCATGCACTGAAGATGTGCGCCTGCAATGTCAAATGAGACTCAGATTTTACGATTGGACATCATGCAACTAGCGTTTTATTGATCCCCACCCATGCAAATGTTCCATTTAGTCAGCCAATGCCCTTGACTGGTTGCCATTGATAATGTTCATGTTGACGACTTCCATGTAGCGGCCAAAATGACTTGTGGTATGAATCATTTAGCTCAGGGGTGTCCAATTCATGATTGTCGCGGGTCACTAAAAGTCCCTTGGAGGGCTGTTATGACTGCGAAACCGTATCAACTACTGTAATGAGGGGTTTGGTCACAAGAAAATGCTTGCAATATTTCACTTATTGAAAACATGAGAAATTGACATTTTTGGTACAGATTTTAGCAATTCATCGTAGCAGTTTACATGTATGATTTGCTTTTGTGGGCCACATAAAATGATGTGGAAGGCCAGATCAGGCCCCCGGGCCTTGAGTTTGACACCCGTGATTTAGCTGTTCACTGAGTTAAACTCTCGCAAGACGTGCTATGTAGAAATTGACTGTTTGAGGCCATTTTTTTTCAGCATAATCCAGGCTCATGCCCTCCAATCAGCTCCTCCTTCA